CGCTCTTCCTCCTCCCTCTCCTTCCTTTTCCGCTGTCATACGGTCGCCAGGCGAGCGCCGGTGAAACTTACGCTTATTGCTTCATTTTCTTGCCTATGTCGTGCTTTTCGTCTCGCGTTCATTATAAAAAAAAAGAAAGAAAAAAAGAAAAAACAAAAAAAAGAAAAAAAGAAAAAACGACGCGCCTTAGAAAATCGCCTTTTCACCGGATTTAATGCTCGTCGAGTTTTTGCAATCCATGCAAAGGTCTTGAAATTGCACTCGGCAGAAAACAAATTTACTTTCATTGGTAGTAAGGCGGTAATTTATCGGTGAAAGGTAACATTTTTATCATTAATACAGATATTGTGCTTCATTTTTCAATGCTTATATATTATATATAAAGTGCATGTAAGTATATGGATGTTTTTTCTGAATTTGATGTAACGCTTCCCACCCCCTCTTTTTTTTTTTTTTATTATTATTATTGAAATGTTAATCGCATTGATCTGAATTAGGTGAATAATAAAAATTTTCTAATGGTTTATAATTCCTTTCGATTGCCCAAGTTAAAAAATTGATGATATATAAATGTAACTATATCGAGATTTATAGAAATTTATTGCCACTAAAAAAAGATAAATTTTTACTGCCCAAGTAAACCTGGAATTGATTTTAAAATTTTCTATATTTTCTATAAATGAACTCGGCTCGCTTAGCTTCATGCCATGATTTATTCATGCTTCACTGGACGTACTAATTTATCTATGGCAAAGTACATAAATTCTAGTCCATATAAGATGTACAGACAGCACGTAGTAAAAATTAATTTATTTATAATTATGCGTCATTTGAGGCATTATCGAAACTTTCATTTCTCTCTGTCCGTACAATTTTATATCTTCATTGACTAATACAAATACACTTGTCTTATTTCGCTAATATCTAATGCTAACAAACGAGACCAAATTGAATTTAAAGAGAAAATAATGTTGACGGACTGTTTGACTTAACTGCGTATATATCGCTCTCAGCACATACTATTATTAAACTAACTTTTATTTTTCCAACTCTTAATGAAACTTGAAAGAATGTATTCTCTTATATAGTAAATGTTTCATATCTATCTATTTTTGTTAAATAAAGGCAAATTTAGCGCACAGGAAATAAAAACTTCTTCTCCTATATTATAAACAATAAGATGTTTTAATATAAATTTCGCGAAAAGTTTGAAAAATAATCTATCAAGCCGAATATGAATTACGTTTAAAAATAAATCATAATTTTATATTCAGTCCAAGTCTATTGAAAATTCGAATAGGATTAATTATTCTTTAATAGTTCAATGTTTTTGATACGTCATTTTAATGTTCGTTTCAATTTTTTGTTTTGCTTTAAGTTTACGATTTTTAATCAATAATTACAATTAATTGTAATTCAACATTAAGCCCAAGTATGTAAAGATAAGAAGAGAAAATATTCCAGAAAGTAAATAAGCTCACATAATCCTCCTTCGTAAAGAGCTATAAAATTTAAAAATAAAATCAAAATTCCTAATACAGGTGTAATTATTTATGACCTGTCACTTTTTAAAGACTATTCGATTATACTATTGTACTCTATTACATAATAAGACCACAATTGAGCTTATGCTCATGTGATGATTAAAAAAAATTTAATACAACGAGTTTGTTATGATGTAAAAATGCCTTTTAGCCTAATTAGTTTAGCAATTTTATTAGCATAAATCTTACGTTAATACATCTTTAAAATAACTAACTTCATTTTATTACATTAATATTGAAATGAGTTTCTCATCTCGTTATGAATATATTATCTAGCAACGTTACAAATTAGCCATAGTAAGCATTACTTTCGCGAGCACATTAATTAAGGAACTTTTAGTTAAAAATAATGTATACGAAAAATTGAGCGTTTCTTTTACATTTCAAAAGCTCTTAAAATTATCAAAAATTTTCATGTCAAATAAGTAGACCATAATTATTTGTTTTAATTGAACATTTATTTATAACAGTGCAATAAAATCTTTAGGCATTATTTAACATTAGTTGTTTCCTTATTTAACATCGGATAATGATAGATTTGTACATAAAATATTAATTCCTTTTATTATGTAATTAGCTCAAATATTTATAAAATTCACTTACATTTACATTGATATATATATATATATATATATATATATATACATTTGAATACAGCGGTTGACATAAATAATCCCGCTCTTATAACATCATAAAAATTATAACTCACAATTAAGCAATTAAGCGAGTCGTAGATAAGAAAAATAATAATAACAGACTTTAAATTTAGATAGAACGTGGATATTTTGATACTAGGTTACTCAATGTATTTTTAAAGTGAATGAATTCGTTGCTGCGGCGGTATTGCATTGCTTTAAGTGAAAGAACGAATGCAGCATCCGCTGGCAGATCTTTATGTTGACTTTCATATTAAGGAGTAAGTATTACTTTTTATTCACTGATACGGTTTTTTAATTCTCGACAGCAATGTAAAAGGTGATTAACGACCTCTAATGGTTTCACATACATTTTACAAATATTTAGAATATAATTGAAAATGAGCATAGTTCAATAAGTATTATTATTTCGCATTACGGTAATAATCTTACATTATTAAAGAATATTTTACTCTAATGTTGACGCATGCATAATGTTTTTTTTTATTTTTTTTTTTGTTTTTTGTTTTGTTTTTGTTTTATTTATTTTTTTAACTTAATATTCATATTTATAATTCAACGTTTCTTTAAGAGATCATAAAATATCCTTATTAAAAATAATAACGTACAATTAAAGAAAATAAAGCTTATAGATGTAAAAGAATTAATTACTGTTAGTAAAATGTCTCGATCTGCCTATGTTTATCAACAAAAGAAAAGAAAAAAAACAAAAAGATAAAAAAAGATCATTTTATAATTACAATCTTATTTTGATAAATTCATTCGACGCTATTAATTATTATTTACTACGTAAACACATATATAATTATACTTACTCATAATTAAGTATTTATTATTCAACTTATATGTTTAAATAATTATTAAGCAACAATTATTGGCGTTCAGCCAAATATAATTTAAATTTCTCTTACTACTTTAGATTGCTTTTCACTTACACTTTAAACTGATTTACTAAAATCAACACAGTCACGCGTTACTCGTGATGCTCTGATGGTTTCACTAACCTACATTGGCTCGTTGAAAGCAAAACGATTCCGATTCACGGCCTGCTTTCGGAACTTCGATTATATTTTTTGATCTTCCTCATTACTTATTACAATTTCTTTCTTGTTTCTTATGCATTGTAGATTCTGTATGTACGTTATACGATAGTGTCCAAAGAACAATAATTATGCTTTTCTGACTCAAGTAATTCTGGTTTGTTTATAGGTATCTTTGCATTTTACTAGATCACTGGACCTCATGGAGGCCAATTTTGTATTTTACATATACATCCGACTAGATTTTCTTTATCCCCTGTCTTATGCAAAAGACGAAGAAATTTGATGCACATATAGTATAAGAGGAATGGCAACGTTAGACATTTTTCTACAAATACGTACGATATGTATCTAAATTTGTTTTCTTTTTTTCTTTTTTTTTTTTTTTTTTCAACTTCAAGTGCACGATTTGTTATCTAAACTTTGGTTCATTTCTTAAGTATTTGTTTCCTATTCTAGCTTATTTTACATTATTATAATATCTCATTCGTTGCTTTCATTTGATAAAGCTTTACTGTGGTAAGTAAGTCGGTGGTAAGCACACACACTCGCCTTTTATATGATCTCCAATCCATGCTAAGTAATTGGTAACTTTTGTATAAACGCCCGGAAAATTTGGCCTGGCACATCCACGACCAAAAGATACGAGACCTATAATTTAAATAGATTAATTATATTTTACAAAGTTAGTATTATTTACAAAGTTGTATTATTTATCGAGGAATGGACTTTCTTTACCATTTTCAATAATTATCAAGGATATTATAATAGTACAATAATTCCTACTAATTGTCACTTTTAATGCTCGAAGTCTGCATAAATATAACAGAAATTTTTTAGATCACTTGATTATACGAATAATTAAATGATTTAGCAAGATTAACTTTTGTCGTATTTTGGAATTCTGTACAATTTGATGAAAATGGTTGTTTGTAATGAAAAAGTATTATAATATATTTAAATAGTTGCGATAAGTTTAAATTTAAGTTGTCTACGTATTTTGCAATATTAATGCATTCTGCATTAAGAATCTTCGGAAATGTACGATTTAATTGTTAAATACGTATAATTTAATATCGTGATATACTTTCGCATAATATTCATGTGTGATCAATACGCTATTATGAACTTTTATGAACTCATTTTTCATGTATCTTAACACTCAATGCTGTGGCCATAAATAATTTATCTTACTTAGAAACTATGTCTAACTAACATAAAATTTGAAATATAATTCATACTTACCAATGACTTCCATGGCACCTTTAGCACTACGCACGTGAAAGGCACCGCCACTGTCACCCTGAAGCATTAAAGAATTTGATATTTTTCGATCAATGCTGTGATTATTAACTTCAAAGAAATTCAAATCAATAGATATTCAACGCACATTACAAGCATCTCGTTGTCCATCTAGATAACCCGCACAAAACATATTATCAGTAACCCGACTTGCAGAATATTCAGATTGCCTGCATTCTTCTTTGGACATAATTGGGAGATCGACTTTCCGTAATTCTTGGCTTACGGGTTTACCTTCTCCTATACGCCCCCAACCAATTGCAACGCCAATCGCTCCCGTGTAATCGAATTTTTCTATAACAAAAAGGAATAATAATTATATAAAATACTAATTGGTTAATTGCGGTAGGAACATTAATAATGACGATTGTGACAGTTACTTGTTATTTGTCTTAAAAAATTGTTTATTTTTAATATAAAGAGGAGTGGCGCTACTTGGGGAATCGCTTTGAAAGTTACATTGAAAATTAAATGAAAATTTATCGAGACAATTTCCCTTCAACGTATCAATATTATTCAGATAATATTGTTTTTGCTTATGTAGTACAATAAGCTGTTTAGAATTACGATGTCTATATTCTAGGCGATGATAAAAATACTTACCCGCATCAGGCAAGCAAACAGTCTTGACAATTCCGTCCAAAGGCACTGGCCTGTCGAGTTCAATTATGGCGATGTCATTGTTAAAGCTGCGCTTATCGTAGTGCTGATGTACACTTACGGATTTAATGTAGTACCTTGCATTATCGGCAAAACGAACTCCAAAATATTTTTTCTGAAATCTAACTCGCGTACTTTTATTAATTTCATTTTATACTAAAACAACAAACAAAAATAAAAGGAAGAAAAAAAAACCAAAAAACAAACGAACGAACAAATAGAAAGACAAAGAATAAGTGTGTGTGTTTGCGCGCGCGTGTTTTTGTTTGTACGTGTGTGTGAGAGAATGGAGCGTGGGGGGAGGGGATGGGGGGGGGGAGAGGAGAAAAATTACCTAAGAAGACCATTACGAATGCAATAATCATTACGTAAGAATCTTCTCATCTTAATAACTAGAGATTATATTTTTTTTCAGCGCAATTCGAATACTCGTGCACAATGCGAATAATCATTTTGAAATTTAACGATCGAAGGCTCCCTTCACATACATACCCGGACATACAATGACCCGCGGTAAGAAGATGTCTGCTTGTTATCAAACTCGCTCCACAATGATGCATGCCTTCGTACGTAATAGCCACAGCCCACGGGAACTCGTAAGTATTTGTGATTTGACCGTTGACTATTCGGGTTTGCCGGCTGACACCGCAAACTGTAATTAGGGACAAAGGCAATAATCCACTAAGCAGGTTACATCTGCAAATTCTGTAAGTATGAGTATGAATTTACGATCCATTTAATTTTATGAATCTTTACATTAAGCAATACCGCATAATGCGCGAATGTTATTACATGTGCAAGTGCACATCGCGTTTGGCTCTCATTGTTAAAACGCATTAAAAAGTCAATGCTTCACGCAATATTTGTACGAGTATCGTGTAAAAATATAATGAAAGTTCACTAATCATTGGTTATCGTTAGTTGAGAAATAATTAGTCATAATAAGTTCGAAGAGGGGACAAGCGGGACTTATAGTGCCCGATAGTGATCCCGATTCTGCCCATTCAAATATCTCGAACACCGCTTTATCGAAACTGCATGTCCTCCATTATTATTTTTAGCTCGTTGAGAGACACCACTTTAAACGAGCGGTCATAAAATATAAATCAAAAGGAGCGGACAAAAGGAGCGCGGGAAAGGTCCTGAATAAAAGTGGTTGCGTATGCTTGGAAAGTTGCACTTATGTCACCCGTGACTTTATCCGTTACATAGTTACCGCAGTTACTGCAGACATCCAGTGCTTTGTTTGCGAAAGACCAGTTGTCAAAATATTCATGAAAACCAGTGCCAAGAGCGGTGGAATTATTCTCCTGTACCGCTTCTCGATCCCCGCCACTTAAAATCTGCGATTAAAAAGGAAAAGCTGATTAATGCTTTGAGAATATGATAGTTGTTGGTAAACATTGCGGGGGCGTTGAAATGGCTGAAAAATAGCGCCTAGTGCGAACTGTGTATCTCCAGCTTTTATCATCAATGAGCTTTCAGCGGTAATGCAAAAACTACGTTACCGAATTACAGAACATTGCATACGTGATAAATTATTCGTATTGGACGGTGACGATGCGTTCGCATAGATTAAGAATAAACGCGAACCTCATGGGCCATCCAAGCTTTAACGAGGCAGTCGAGTAAGTTAAACAGAGCCCACTCGATACATTAATTACGTCCTCCAGCATTAAAAACAACAAAGAAAAACAAAAAACAAAAAAACAAAAAACAAAAAACAAAAAACAACAACAACAGCAACAGCAACAGCAACAGCAACAACAACAACAACAACAACAACAAACAAAAAACAAAAAACAAACAAAAAAAAATAAAGAAAACACTACACATTACGTAGACCAGCAGATTCGCCATTATCCCGCCATTAACCACTGGATAAAGCACTGGGCGGCTCACCCCAATGGTAATTTTCAAAGAATATCCGACGCCATCAACCTGTTTATCGAGGAGGGCGTCTAAGTCTGAGAACTCACTAATCGCGGCGCAGTGTTGACCTCGCGGGGCACGAGGATGCCGAGCAAACTCCCGACGCAGAAGGTGAAATAGGCCTCTCGTCTCCAATCCATTTCCCGCTTGCACTCTAATTCCCAGGGTGAGGCACGCCTGCTCAAAGGTCTGCGCTGCTCCTCGGTCCTTTGTCACGGGCCCGTCGTGAGAAGTGACGATTGCCGAGTGTTTTGCCGTTTTATAGTATATTATAACTAATAACGTAGCTGGGTAGAGCGCGGGTGGGGGCCGGTTTACCTTGGCCGGTGCGTTTGCATTGGCAGATGTGCGACGTCGAGGCGCGATACTCGACCTTTTTCGAATCGCAAGCAGGGGCTGCCGAGGCGTCATTGTACCCGATGGCGCAATTCTAGAGTGCTTGGCGATCTTCGGCGGCCCAATGTCACAGGCCGATGTCGGCCCAGTGGGACGACGATGATGTTCCTTGCCGCTTTTCATGTAGGCGCGCTGCATCTTCTCTCCCACCCTCCCGCCCTCGGACCGTCTCATCCAAGCTTTCAATAACGGCGGATATCATGACGATAAACGCCGTTGGAAAGTAAGAGCGCATTCGCCTTGTCGCGAGGACGAATTATGAATTATGATAATAATTGAGCATTATCATGAAATAATGAGGCGCGCGTTTAAAAGACGATTTCTCTCGATGGGCATTTATTTAACTATCATTGCGTCATTATTATCGTTTAGTCGCAGTCGCTTACTTGGCGCCTCTTTCGCGCGATAATAATTACGATTCACTTATTATTCATTTGCAAAGCTTCGTCATTGCTTTTCATTATTTGCCCGGGTATCACGATCGGGTATCATATGGTGTGAAAAAACATGTAGTAGCTTACGTTTCTCTATGGTCTATTATCTCAATCAATCAAGCGCAAAGATTTCATTTCCTCGTGTTAACATATGAACATGTCGTGTTCATTAATCTTATATTTATGATTCATTTTCGATTTGTTTTCGTTAATTTTTCTTTTAACTCTCTCTCTCTCTCTCTCTCTCTCACACACACACGCGCGCGCGCGCGCGCACATCCGCACACACACGAACCCTTTCACCTACTCACCCTACACCCTCCCTCTCTCTCGCTCTCTCTCTCTCTCTCTCTCTCTCTCTCTCTCTCTCTCTCTCTCTCTCTCTCTCTCTCTCTATGAAAAGGCTCTTGAATCATCGTTTATTTTTATGAATTCTTAAGTAATTTCTTATATGACATTTATGATGTAATTACTTTTATAACAAGTTCAATTGTTGTAATTTTTAACATGACAAATCTCAGATTAATATTGTTTTATGTTTCCTTTCCGTGTTTGTATTGCACGAAACCATTTCATTTTAATAAATATAGAATATCAATTATTATAATAATTTGTGATTTTTCAAAAAATGAAAAAACTTGTATTCCAATAAAATATTCTAATGAAATTAAAATAATGCTGTTGCCATAATTTTTGCTTATATTATTCTTTTGTTTATTTTTAAGTTACGTATGATTTTTATTAAAAGATAATTGAATGTCCAATAACTGATATAATATTCCTGATAATCATAAACAATTTTCTCATTTAAATGTTTTACTAAACAGTCAAATTTAAACGAAAGATCATTCTGGAATTGTTAATAATTAATTTTGTGTAATCATTAGATTATTCTAAATGCCGTGTAACCAAAATTTAACAAAATTTTCCGAAATTATGTGAAAGTATGTACCACATAAACTTTTAATTTATTTGGAGGAATGCATTTTTAAAGAAAGTTAGCGAGTATCAAATTTATCGTTAATTTCTGAATTTTACAGAATTTTTTTTTATTTATATTAAGAGAAATTATTGAAAAATTTCATACATTTTGTCATTTTAACATAATACATTCATGTATTCTGCCAAAGTTTTCTGTAATAATTTTCTGTAATAGCTTTCTGTAATAATTCTTTTAACTTCAATAATATGTTCGATCTTTTAACTCAGCCTAGATTAACTAGATAAATGTAAAAGTAATTATTCACAATTCATTATTATATTTTTACATGCATCAACTACAAAAGAACTGTCGTATAATATAATGAAATATAATAATTTATTTATTATAATTTTATATTAAATGATTCTATAAATATTCTGAACTATTTTTATAATTAAAGTAAGGGTTTCAAATTAATGTTAATTGATTTCTAAAAGAAAATTTTCATTCGACATTTAAGCACTTCAAGTACATGAAAAAGTACCAGCTTCTGTAATACATTTACGTTACTTTTCTTATAAAAAATAATAACAATTCTTTTCCAACATCTCCGTAAATATATTACAAGAAAGTTTTTCAATGGGGTCAATGTAACTAAATGCCCTTGTCAGTCGACGTCGTAAGATTTTACATAGTTTCTTTGAAATGAACTAATATACAGGGAGATGAAAAAAAAAAAAAAAAAAAGAAAAAATAAAATAGACATAGATTTTCTTTGCTAACTGAGATTATTACTGTACAAACAAAGAACGATAATTACGATTTGAGCAACGTAAAGGTATTTATTCGCGATCAGTTTTATCTAATGAACCTTGAGTGGTAAATGCTTCATATATGAAATGTATTACATTGAAAATCAATTATTAGGACGGTTGAAAATTATTATTTACCAAGTATATTGAAGATAGAGATATTATTATGTATATTGAATTATTGAATTATACATATTATATATTATTGAAAATAATGGATTTATTTATTTATTTATGATACAGCATCTATCAATGTTCAAGTTTGTATTTGTATTTCATAATAAAGCAAAATTTATCCTTATGAAGGTGTTTTAATTTGGCTTGCTAATAATAAACTGACTATGCTGAATGACAAATAAAAAATAACTTATTATTGGCCATCTAAATATCTATTAATTTTCCAAGATCTATATGTAACAACCTTTATATTGATTTCTACTTTTTGTCAAACTTTTCTACTTAAAAAGAAGGTCAACGCATAAGAAAATTGCCGCATACATTAAAGGATATCATTTTGTACTCCCAGGATGTAATAGCGTTGATATAAAACTTTTATATTTATCTTTTGGCTAAAAAAAGTAATTCACATTTTATTCTATTATCTAAAAAAAAAAAAAAAAATAACTCGCATGAGTTCTAATAAAATGTACTCTCAAAGAGTCAAGGTCTTTATTATCATGTGTGTACAATTTGGAGGTGAGATAAAACAAAAGTCTTTGGTCTAAACATATAAATTGCGATATGGTACATGAATTTCTCGTTAGAAAAGTAAAAACATACAATAAATAGAATTATGAATCTTTCTATATCTTTCTGTATAATAAACAGTTTTTTTTTTATATATATACAATATCATAAAGTTTCTATTCCTTTCAGCAAGTCAACGTGTTATTCTTTTAATGTAAAAATTTCAAAATAATTACATATTTTTGACAAATTAATTAATATTAATGACAAAACCAATAAAATTTGTATGAGATGCCAATAGCACTATTTATCATAAATGTTAATGTTAATCACAAGAACTAAATATACTTTTATTGTTGATCTTATTCGAATTTCGCACACATTGCGATACCATATTAACTTTGCAAATTCTGAATTGCAGAAAAAAAAATTGAAAACTGCAAATCGAGAATTTCCGAGAGTTGGGATGAGCTAATCGTTCATCAGGGGTCAGGAGTTTGCCTCCGTAAAGAAAAATAAAACAGACAAGGCTGCAACATTTTTACCGATAAGTCCTGAGTCATTGAGAACACATGTCAAGACAATAAAGTACAGAAACGGCCCGCATGAGGGTGTTATGACCTATATACCTTGACCTACTGTTCGGGCGGGTGGTTTTTGATGGTTATAGGTTAGACAACTGCCGTGAGTCATATCTCAAAGATACATCCATGTCTCTGCTACTATAGCATCGTCTGATCGTGTATTCGAGCCCAAAGTGCGATAAGAAGAAATAATCGGAGAGTAATTACGCACGTCCTTCCGAGATAAGACTATTGTACTTGGGTGACAGATGAAAGATCAACCGCGTGTTATTAATATGTGGCGCAAGGCCATTAACAGGGAATACGCACTCGTCCAAGTACATTCCCCTTGGATGGAAGCTAATTTGCATCGGTGCGTTTCATTCTTGTTCCAACCATTGGCAGCACATACTTGAGGACATCACTGCTACACACATCTCAAATACACACTACGGAGTATTTTATTTGGATTCAAGAGAATTGTCAACTATGTTGTTTTTATGGTCGTATTTGGTTACAGTAGGCATATTTTTCGCTAATATTGTTGAACGTATTGTGAACATATATGTAAGCATACTCGGTAGTATTATATACATTTACTAGAATAAAATATAAGATTTAATTTTGTGATTCGTGAAGGGATGTAGTAGACATGGTAATGTGACTTTTGAAAATTGAAATATACATTTTTTGTTTACTTTACTTTTTTTTCATCAGCTTTTCTCACGTATGTAAAAGATAATAGCTATTTCTAAATATTTATATAATTTATTATAAATAACTTCATAATGACGATTTTTTGAATTTTTTTTTGATTAGATTAACATTTAAAAAACTTATTAATTTAGAGATCATCATAATTTAAGCAACTATTTTCTGATATAAGGTTAAAAAATTTAACCATTTTGGGTAAATAATTAATTTATTAACAAAAATTTTTTCATTATAACTAGAAAAATATCGAAACTATTAGTATATGATTTTTTTATTTATTTACTTTTGCTATTTAGAACCGAGAAAAAACTTTTAAACTTTATTATCGTGTTTATTTATTATTATTAACATTATATTATTATTAACAGTTTATTATCATGTAACTTTTACGTATTTCAAAGAACATATATATATTTATAAGTTAGATTAAAAATATATATTACACATTCGCATTTGTCTTCATAATTTTATTAAATATTCACGATTCGTATGTTTTCAAAATCTTCGAGTATCTTAAAAAAACTTTTTCCATATAGATACGACAATATTAAATACGACTTGTTAAACTAATATTAATATCATTTATTAATAATTGACTACTTAAACATTTTAACTTTAATTGAATTTACATTAAACACATATGCAAAATAATCGTAAAATATTTAAAGAAAAAATTATTTATAACAATTGTCTATTATTAAATTGAACGAATATTTGTCTTTTATAACTTGTTCATATACGACACGAAGAAAATATTTGCAATAGATAAAATTATTTTCTATCTCAAAATATGCATACAGACATACGTATCCACATAATAATATTGATTAATAATATAAAAATATTTGAATAGCAAAAGATAGAGAAAAGGGAAAAAATACCAATTTTAATACGTGCAATTTTTTTTTCTTCAAAATTCTAGATTCTCTGATGATTTTATTTATAATGATTGAGTAAAAATAAATTTTTGATATGCATCAAGATATTCAAGACATAAGTAAGTTAACAAACTACGGAGAAAATAATTCCGTAAAGCCAGTCGCAAACAGTCGATTGAAATTTGAAAAAATATCGAAAGAATAATTGAGTGAATAATTTGTCGCTACCTGCAATTTGATATCCAATGAAGAAATTTCTTCTTTTATAAGGAATAAATACAACGTTATATCGACGCGATTCTCCCATGAACCTGTTATGCGTAACGACAGGAGAGAAGAAGTTGAAAAAAAAGGAGAAATAAAAAGGAATGAAAAGGCAATGTCAAAAGCGAGAAACGTTATTTTATTCGCATACGAGATTCACCAATATACGACCAAATTTCAATACACTAGCCTAATTTTTCATATAGAAACAGACTGGGACGCTCTCTCGGCAATCCACTTTTTTCCTTCCCTGTATATAAGTAAAGATGCGCTGGTTAGGCTTGAGTCTGCGTGAAAGTGTCGCTTGAGTCGTGTTGTTGTCGGCGTCGCTACTACCGCCGTTGTTACACTCGTATGTATCAAATCGAGTTTCCACGACGTTATCTAGAGCTCAATTTTGGTTCGAGAAAGCAGTGCGCGTCTCTTAAGTGATTAACCTGAGCGACACATTTCCTGTATACTAGTCATCGAAAATGCGAGAGATTCTAAGTATTTTTCTTCTCGTTATCCCGCTGGCTGTTGCCCATGTTCTGAATAGTCAGGTAATTAGCTTTTAAATTTTCTCCCCTAGCCCCTTACCCTTACTTCTCCCAATCGCTCTAACCCCCTCCCATCCCATCCCACCCCCCAATGCCCTACTCAATCCCAGTCACACACCGTTTCTATAATATGTGATATATATGTGAAAGAAATCTAATTGCTACTATGTATTAACCGATTAATCAACAAAATGGTAAACGCAGAATGACATTGTCGAGAATGTGCCAAAACATTCGTGAATGAAGCGACTGTTTTTAGCATTAATTTTTCGCTCCATGTACTCCATCCAGATACGTAACTATTAATACATGTGTAATTATTTTTTTATATTATTGATTAAAGTCGTGGCAGACATATCTGAATTTAAGCATAATAGCATTAGAAGGCACGATAGCACCTGTCAATCAGATTATATCGAAATGTTTATTCATTAAAATGAAATGATGAATTAATTGTTAATTTATCGGTGAATTAGTTGAATTGAGTAGATCGTTCATTGCCATTCACTATTGATAGTCCGTCACAAATTTGAGCATTTAGATATTTCATTTTGAATGGAATTTTTGTCAACAGTCGCCAAATCCATTTTACGTTTACTATTATGTTTTACACTTTTTCGTTAATAAATATCCATTGTTATATTGCTTTTGCTATTTACATTAATGGCCAATAAAATATTAAAATAATACGATCAAAATTCATGATCGATAATAAAACAAAACAAGAAAGTAAAAAGAGAAAAATTGAAACTATTAGATTTCACTTAAAGAACGTATGATCGCAATTTATTCCGCAAGTATTATACGACACGAATTTATCAAAGAAAATTTCAGGTTCCAATAAAACAAAATACACTTGTAAAGCATTCGATAGATACGCGAACTAATGTTACTTATTCGGATTATTATACAGAGGAGGATAAATTTTTTCTTAGTTGGCTACAAAATATATTAGGATATAGGCCACCCATTGCGTCAACAACGCAGCCTCCAATTAGTGAGCAGGAAAAATGTCCACCTTGTCGTGAGTAGATTTTCATATATCATTTTCATTTTCATTCATATCTGTTTCTGAAGCCTTGAATGAATCTTTATTGAATGAAAACTCCGTCGGAAAATAAAAGTAATATTAACTTTTGCAGTCAAGTTATGTACGATCGTCCTCACTTTATTATTCTTTCAATAAATACAGTTCCTCTTAATCGAAAATTCTCATAGGTTGCGGGATAACGAACAAGCAAAATAGAATTGTCGGGGGCATAGAAACCCAAGTCAATCAATATCCATGGGTAGCACTTTTAATGTACAGAAGACGATTTTATTGCGGCGCCACAGTGATCAATTCAAAGTATCTATTGACAGCAGCTCATTGCATAACTGGGTGAGAAAATATTAGCTCGTTTCATTTCAATTATCTCGCTTGAGTTCAGTACAATGAGTTTGCTTCGTCCTATTGGCAGATTTGACAGAAACCTAATGTCCGTGCGTATTCTGGAGCACGATAGGAATTTAACGGCCGAGGCGATAACTCTGGACTTTCGAATTACGGAAATCATCAAGCATAATGGCTACTCGACGGTAAATTATAATAATGATATAGCATTGATAAAAATCGACGGCGAACTCAATTTTGATGAGAAAATGAGACCGGCATGTTTAGCGGAACCAGGTAAGAAATTCTCTCATTCGGCGTAATTCATTATTTTGCCGGATAAAACTTTCAGGACGTAAGCTTAATAAAAAATTGAATAAGAATAATACGCGCACGTGTGTCGTCTTCAGTGAAAACTTTCACCGGCGAAACGGGGATTGTAACCGGTTGGGGGGCCATCGTGGAAGGCGGACCAGTTTCTACTACTTTGCAAGAGGTCAGCGTGCCAATTATGTCAAACGCCGAGTGTCGAAGATCCAAGTATCCGGCTCGAAAAATTACGGACAACATGCTCTGCGCTGGTTATAAGGAAGGGCAGAAGGATTCCTGTCAGGTACTCAAATTTCTCTCATTTTTAAATTAACTTGCGACTACATTGACTCTCTCTCGATTGTATGCGACATTATCGTAATATTTTTATTCGTGTAAAGAAAATTAACTTTGATGTAAGAACCTTTCCTTACCCAAAGTTACTTATAACGAATATTGCGAAATTCCGAGGAATTCGTTCGATACTTTTAAAGACATTGAATAAACATTCGATAAACAATCAACAACGAACAATAATAAATCAATTCGTTTGGTAATTAAATTCATAATCCACCCTGATAAAGTACGTTTTTATATTTCCAATAGTTTCACAAGTAGTTTTTAATTGCACTTCTCTCGTACATTTCAGGGAGATAGCGGCGGTCCTCTTCATGTGGTTGCTGTAGGCTTGTATCGAATAATCGGTAAGTTCTTTAAATAAAGTAATTTGACCAAATACGGATAAGTTATTCATATTCAATTGAACTATAATTGATATTAAGGTTAGCATTATTTTGATAACTACTAATAATTAATATTCATAGCTAAGTGAGGACAGGATAATGTTTTCAATTGTCTTTATAACTTTATACCATCTACTATTTAAATTTATTACTTTCATCATTGTTTATATCTTTAGAACTTACTTATTAATAAAACACCTTATATATATATATATATATATGGTTAAAAGATTTTGTACCTAGTAAAAACATGTTGCAGGAATCGTATCTTGGGGCGAAGGATGTGCTCAACCTGGTTATCCTGGAGTGTATACTCGAGTAAACCGTTATATAACCTGGATTATGAGCAACACAGCAGATGCGTGTTACTGTTCCGATGAATCCACGTTACGTTTACGTTAACATACAGTATTAATAAAAATATTTGAAAGCAGAAGAAACGCAAAATGTGATCGAATAATATTAGATTATTTAGAAATGATAGATACTTGAGCTGTTCTACATATATAATAATATTTTTATAAATGAATTGGGAATTCGAAGTATTTTACTACTGATATTTATCAAATTTATTATTTATTAATAACTCTTAAATTTCTTTATTTTCCACAATGTGTATATTTCAAATGCGATTTTAATCACTACAGAATTGAATTTTATTCAAATAATAATAGGTATAAATAGACTTTTGACTAGTCGATTGTATTTTAACATATATAATATATATTATAGAACATTTGATTATATTTCAGCATAATATATAATGTAACCACATTGCCAGTAAATATTTAAATATAATTAAATATAAAAGAATTTAAAAGAAAGATATTTTTCATAAATATATATATATATATATATTGCTATTATGAATTGCGAACGAAAATAGCAATATGGCAAACATTTTTATTCATATACATTTACATACGTTTACGCACATACATAATAAAAAATTTTCTATAATCAGCTACGTAAAAGCACGTTACTAGCTAATTAGTTTTATTATTTTATTGGTATAGACATTGACTATAATTACTCGGTTGGTGTTTTCGTTATTTGATAAGTCGAACATTCATCATTTTCAACAATCTTCGGATGTAGCCAGAAAGTTTCCATATTACCTTT